TTTTTCCTACTTTGTCTTAGACTGGAAGCTCCATTGAAACCTGCCCATCATGGGTGACTATGCTGGTATTTATAATACTGGTGGCAGTGCTTCCAGTATCACAGCAACATGCAAGACACCACAGTATGACAAATTCACCAACCAGGGTAGATTTAATAACAGAATGCATTTAGTAAACTAAGTCTGACCAAAGAATGGATATGAGGAAAGTATGTTTTTTAGACATGCAATGCAATGCCACATTTCATGGAGATAGAGAGGAGAGCAGAGTGGCACTTGGAATGAGAATGAAAACTCACTAAGGGCTGGCTTGACTGGTGGAGGTTTCTGCTTTTGGTTCAGAGCCAGCAAAAGCAGCTTGTGACACTCCAGAGAGACTGTGTCAATCAGCCCAAACCTTCTAGAGAACAACGAAAAATAATTGGATAAAATTGGTGTCTGGTAGGGGGATGGCAGGGGAAAAAAACAAGTTGGTTATGGTAAAGTCCCATGGTAAAATGTGTGCCATATTCTCCAATGGCATGCTATAAATATTGGTGGAAAATCCTTTACCCAATTTAAAAAAAAAAAAAAAAAAAAGTTTTTCGGACTGTATTTACAGAGAAAACAAGCAATATACCCAGCAGAAATAACAAAAATGTACTTAGGGCTATATTCTTAACTGACAACAAATAGAAATTCTTTAGTGAGATCATGGCAATTTGATATTATAATGATTAAGTTCATTAAAGATAAGCAGGGTACTTGGAAAATCAAGTTCTACCGCTCCCTCTTTCTACATCTCCTAAATTCATCTGACTCCTTAAATGTGAAGGAAAAGCCTTTATGTGGAAGACAAACACATTTCCAAAATGAAGTTACAGGTTTTTTCTCTTAACGAAATTTTCCCTTGTTGTCAACTGTTTGTTAAAATAGGGCCTTCTGGGTTTTGTTTTGGTTATTTCACCTTAATTCACCACTTAATTCACCAGAATTTCACCAGAATTCCTGTAATTCCATAAATAATATTTGGCATCATAAAATTCAGTTCTTGACTTCTACTGCTTTAGATGTAGATGAAACTGAAAACCTAAGGTAGATTAGAGTTAGTGATTTTTTAAACTCAAAGTTTCACTATTCCTTAATGTGTTTTTAGGGGAATTTTTTTTTTTTTTTTTTTTTTTACCTCACTCAGGTATTCTTGAGTCTCTTTCCTTAGTCCTGTATGCCCCTCCATAGCTTCTAAGGTCTTTTGTGATAAAGGCTTAAACCACTGACCTTCAAATTTACTCTTTAGTACTGGAGTTGTCGTTATTAAGTGCTGTAGAGTTGGTTTCAACTCATAGTGACCCATGTGCCAGAGTAGAACTGCCCCATAGGGTTTTCTTAGAAGGAACTCTGGTAGGGTAGTGGGTACAAGTTGGGCTGCTAACCTCAAGGTCAGCAGCTCAAAACTACCAGCTGTTCCGTGGGAGAAAGGTGAGACTGTCTGCTCCCATAAAGATTTATAGACTCATAAACCCTATACAAGTTCACTATGAGTCACAACCAACTCCACAGCACACCATCACCACCACCAATCTTTACTGAAGCAGATGATCAATTCTTTCTCCCTTGGCACCACTACATGGGTTTGAAATGCCAACTTTTTGGTTAACTGCAGAGTGCTTAACCATTGCACCAACCAGGACTCCTTCTAATACTGTGTTTATTCTGTTTTAGCACTGTGCCATTGAGTCAGTTCTGACTCATAGTGACCCTGCATAGGGTTTTCGAGGCTATATATTTTTGTAGGAGCATAGAACAGCATCTTCCTCACATGGAGCAGCTGGTGGGCTTGAACTGCTGATCTTGTGATTCGAATCTATAACTATCATTTACATTATTTTGGGGAGAAAAGAAAAATCCTATTTGCCTCATGTGTAAAGTCCCGAGTGGTCATGGTCGCGATGTGCCATGGAGTCGGTTCCAACTCATAGCGACCCTGTACAGGGTTTCCAAGACTGTAAATCTTTAAGGGAGCAGAAAGCCTCATCTTTCTCCTGTGGAACCGCTGGGAGTTTCAAACTGCTGACCTCGAAGTTTGCAGTCCGATTCGTAACCACTACACTACCAAAACTCCCTTATTGTTGTTGTTAAGTACCGTGGAGTCAGTTCTGACTCATAGTGACCCTGCACAGGGTTTCCCAGGCTGCAAATCTTTACAGGAGCAGAACGCCTCATCTTTCTCCCTCGGAACAGCTGGTAGCTTCGAACTGCCAACCTTGAGGTTAGCAGCCCGATTTGTAACCACTATGCTACCAGAGCTCCTTAGCAAACTGTAAATAGTCATTTGACATGCTCTTATGAAAGCCTACTGGGTCTTCTCTAACACATTCATTCCCTTCACTCCTTTGAGACTACTGAAGAGAAATCAAGTCAACCAACTATCTGATAAAATAGCATTTCCACTCTGTGAGACATGATATGATTTTAAAAAGAAAAAGAATGCCTAAGCACAGCTGCTCTAGAAAAAGACTTAATAAACCATGTGTTGTGGAAAGGAAAGAGAAATGAACTGTTAAGAAGGGTCAGGTAATACACTAAAAAGACTGGAATCTTACAATCTTTGCGTCTTGGGAGCTAAGAAAAATGGGTCACCTCCTGCTCAAACTTTCTTAGGAATGATTTTGGGATAATGCAACGTATCTTACTGTGGCACTCCATTAATGAGTCATCATTTTGATAGATGCATCTCAAGGAAAGGGTCATTATGTTCTACTGATCTTGTGGGCATCTGAATTCTCTTTTGATGTGATAGAAAAACATTTTTCTTGACACACCTAAGCCCAAGCGCCTCTGACAGCTAGAGTCTGATTACCTGAAAATCATTTCTGGTCAGCATAATTTAGAAGATAACATCTACTTAGCTATCTTTTCGTTTACAACAAGAACAAGAAATCTCTGGGTCAAAGCACCAACATTTGATGAAATGCTCACATAAGACTTTATAACTTGATAGTTATTTTTATCCAGCAGTAGATAAGATACAAGGAGTAAACCCAGGCAGAGAGATCTTGGGGGAATGGAACAAGCACTGTGAGACTGGGAGCATGATCTTTATTCTTGCTAAGTAAATGCAAGGAAAACTTAATGATAAATGGCACAATAAAATGTTGTTTGTTAGGCCAGGAATCTTTTTTGTTTTTACAACAGGGAATTCTATTTGTCCTCTTTATATATATATTGTCCATCTCAAAACTAGCCGAGAAGCACAAATCAACATGGTACATCTATAGAGTTCTTAAGAGACTAAACAAAATAGCAGTACTAAATTAGTTCTTTATCATCACTAATTTTCATCAATATCCCAGAGTTGTGAGGTCAACAATGAAAAACAAATGTAGATTTATAGAGAAAGATTCTGTGGGATATGGCATTGGGCTACCTCAAGGGATGTCAAAGGAAACGATTCCAAGGACAAAGGCAACCGTAGTTTGTTTGTTTGTTTGTTTGTTTATTTATTTATTTATTTATTTATTTATTCTATCATAAAGGAAAAGCATCTGCATTTGTGAAATTTTAGGAAGCAATGAATACAGTGATAATCTCTTGATAGCAGATGATTTATTTTATGCTCTATATGTATATATATATATATATATATATATATTTTTTTTTTTCTGTATGTTTTTATATCAAGTGACCACACTTACATGCAGAGATACTTTGTGTAAAAAGAAACAACTATTGAGAATCTCCATGCAAAAAAGAGAAGACTGTCCCCTCAGGGGAATTTGCTGATCCACATGAGTAGGTGGATTGTTGTTGTTAAATGCTGTGAAGTCATTTCCAACCCATAGCAACTCTGTATAGGGTTTCCAAGGAGCAGCTAGTGAGAGTGAACCACTGACCTTGCAGTCCAGCGCATTAACCCATAGCGCCACACCAGGACCCCAAAAGTGGATTACAGAATACAGGGGAGAATACAATTCCACTTGTAGAACCTAAGGGGAAAGAAAATCTGCCAGCTTTAACTACCTGGGTTTTCAGAAATAGTATAGCTTCAAACAAAAGAGGTTAGTTTTTTGACAATCCAGTGAAACATGAGGGGTAGATCTTTTTGTTCTCTGTAATATACTCAGGTAATATACTCATCATGAAAATAAGTCTTGTCATATGCCCCAACAAGCTAAAGAAAATGAAGCTTCATGTGAAAGTACATGACTATTTTTCTTATCTCTTTTCTTGACAAAGTGATATCTCTGTACAAAGGAGAGTCATACTTGTCCACACTATAAAGAGTTGGCAGAAGTGAGTCTAAACAGAAGTGGAACTTATGGAAAATTGCTCCGCAGCAACTCAGATGATGATATTATTAAAATTTGTTTAAAACATGATTATGATACTTGGAGGATTTGTAGCGCTGTGGGCTAATGCGTCAGACTGTGAAGTCGTTTGAACTGCAAGGTCGGCGGTTCAAGCTCACCAGCTTCTCCTTGGAAACCCTTTACAGGGTCGCTATGGGTCGGAATCGACTCGACGGCACTTAACAACAACAACAACAAGCAGAAAAAGATTAAGAAACAAATATAAAAATTTTACTTTCCCTGTACATTCCTCTCCATCTGAACTGCAGTCCTGAGTACCAAAACATAAATATATCTAGTCCTTGTAGGTGACATAGAAGATTCCAATAGGTGTAATTCCAGAAAGAGGACAAATGCTTTTCATTTCAATGAAAAATATATTCCTGGCTTTTTGTATTGTGTGTTCTGAGTTCTCCAAGTCGCAATATTGCAGGTACCTCTGTTTAGATGAATGAACCCTGGTTGTGTTGTGGGTTGGCATTGGGCTGCAAGGTTAGTAGTACAAACTCAACAGTTGTTCTGTAGGAGAAAGGTGAGGCTGTCAGTTCCCTATATAGAGTTGCTATGAATTGGAATCAACTCAGTGGCAGTGTGTTTTTGGTTTCTGTTTAGATGGAAATACAACAACCTTATTCTCAGTCTATGTTATTGCCCAGTTTGTGTATTTCTTACCTGTCAGAACTGAGAACTGACTTTAAACTCCGAAAATTTTGGCTCTCTAAATCCAAACTGTAGCTCCGCCCACTTTCAGTTTTCATAGTCACGATTTCTCCTTTGGTTGCTGATCTGAATTTGCTAAGAAGAAATCTGAAAGTAAATTAAAATTAGGAGAAGAAATAAATCATTTAAAGGCTCATTTCTAGAATGCCATTTTGAACAGTAAATGACTTTTCAATAAAGTGTCCTCGAGTGAGGAGGTTCTAAAGATACAGTGTCAAGGGTGGTGTCGGAGGTTATGGCATTTTCTCAAGGTCACATCACTTTCTGGTAAAACAAGGTTCTGCCCCTCTTAAAGAAGAGACCACTTACTTTGAGCACTTAGTACTGTTACCTGAGAATGGAGAAGCACTGCCTGGACTGAACCTGTTTTCAGGTTGACTGAGAAGAGGGATCTGAAACTATTCTTGCTCAGAAAAAGATAGTCCTATGTTACTCTGGAACAAACTGAGACAGCAACCTATTAGTCGGCAGCTCCTTCACAGCAGTGACTCTTTCATTTAAAGGAACTTACTATGGTAATATACATATAACAATATATACACTAGACCATCAATTTCTATATATATGCTTCAGCGACATTGATTGCATTCTTCAAGTTTTGCAAACATTCTTAATATCTTTTGCCAAAGGATCCCACTACCATTAGCATACAAACAATGAATTATATGCAAAAACCCTCACTTTCCCTCTTCCTCCTGTCTGCAGTAGCCGCTAATAACTTGTGGTTGCTACATAATGTTTACCTCTTATAAACAATATCTTGTCTTTTTGTGTCTGATATCTTTTGCTCAGCACGATTCTTTCAAGGTTCGTTCATGTTGTGAGATGTCATTAAAAAGCCATTCCGCCTTATGGCTGAGTAGCATTCCAGTGTATGGGTGTACCACATTTTGTTTATCCATTCGTCAATTGATGGGTATTTTGGCTGTTTCCATCTTTTGACTCTGTGAACAGTGTTGCAATTAATGTTGGTGTACATATGTTTGTTCATGTTACTACCGTCAGTGCTTTTGGGGACATTATTAAGAGTAGACCACCACTTGTCTGTCAGTTTGTCACTCTGTGGTGGTTTGTGTGTTGCTGTGATGGCTTGAAACTATGCTATTGGTATTTTAAATACCAGTAGGTCACCTGTGATGGATGGAATTTAGTGGAGCTTCCAGACTAAGACAGACTAAGAAGAAGGAAAGGCAGACTACTTCTGAATGTTCAGCCATTGAAAACATTATAAACAGCAGTGAAACGTTGTCAGATATAATATATAATAGCAGTGAAACGTTGTCAGTGCTAAAAAGTTTGAGTACATTGTTAGAAAAACTTCTCAGGTTGGAAGACACCCAAAACATGACTGGGAAAGAGCTGCCTCCTCAAAGCAAAGCTTTTGGGACCTTCATTTGCTGATGGGCACAACTTAAAATGACGAGGAACAGCTGCAAAACATCTATTAATAATCAGAACACGGGATGTACAAGTATGAAACTAGAAAAATTAGAAGTCAAAATGAAATGGAAAACATAAATATTGATATTCTAGGCATTAGTAAGCTGAAATGGACACGTATTGGACACTTTGAATCCAATAATCATATGGTTTACTATTCAGGAAATGACAAATTCAAGAGGAATGGCATTTATCATCAAAAAGAACATTTCAAGATCTATCTTGAACTAAAATGCTGGTTGTGATAGAATAATACCCATATGTCTACAAAGAAGTCCAGTTAATATCATTATTATTCAAATTTACCAACCAATCACTAAAGTGAAACTGAAGAACTTCACCAATTTCTTCAGTCTGAAACTGATCAAACATGCAATCAAGATATACTGATAATTACTGGAATATGAAGGTTGGAAACAAAGAAGGATGTTGTTGTTGTTGTTGTTGTTGTTAAGTGCCGTCGAGTCGGTTCTGACCCATAGCGACCCTGAACAGGGTTTCCAAGGCTGTAAATCTTTACGGGAGCAGAAAGCCTCCTCTTTCTCCCGCGGAGCAACTGGTAGTTTCGAACTGCTGACCTTGCGATTCGCAGCCCAATTCGTAACCACTACGCTACCAGAGCTCCTTAAAACTATGGTCTTGGTGGCAGAAATAATGCTGGAGATTAAATAATAAAATCTTGACAGACCAACAATTTATTCATTGCAAATGTCTTTTTTACTACAAGTGGTTGTGTGCCATGAAATCAGTTCTTATTCATGGCAGTTCTATATTAAGTTTCTGTGCCTGCAATTCTTTACAAGAATAGAAACCCTCATCTTTCTACTGTGGAGCAGCTGGCAAATTCAAACTGTTGACCTTGTGATTAGGAGCCCAACTCATAGCCCACTACACTAACAGGGCTCCTTAAATACCTTTGTCAAATAACATAAAAGGCAACTATACACCCTCATCAGGCGGAATACACAGAATCAAATTAAATACATCAGTGGAAAGAAACAGTGGAAAAACTCATTATCATCAGCCAAAATAAGGCCAGGGGCAGACTGGAACAGAGTCACAAATTGCTCATATACAAGTTCAAGCTGCAGCTGAAGAAAACTAAAACAAGTGTATGAGAGCCAAAA